CCAATTGATGCCCACTCAGGATATCCCCCCATTAAGTGCCCACTCAGGATAACCCCCATTAGATGCCCACTCAGGATAGCCCCCCATTAGATGCCCACTCAGGATATCCCCCATTAGATGCCCACTCTGAATAGCCCCCATTAGGTGCCCACTCAGGATAACACCCATTAGATGCCCACTCTGGATATCCCCCAATACATGCCCACTCACAATAGCCCCTCCATTACATGCCCACTCATGCTATCCCCCCAATTAGGTGTGCACTCATGATAACCCTCAATACATGCCCACCTATGCGATCTCCCCATTAGATGCCCAATCAGGATATCTCCCCCATTAGGCACCCACTCGGAATGTTGCCATTGAGTAATCATTTCATGCGTGAAATAGTGACTTTATAGGGATCATTTCTTCATCATTTCTTCAAGATCAAGATGTCTCAGGCTGGCAGACTGAGCTCTCTCTGTCTATGTCTCACTCTTTCCATGTCTCTCTCTCTCTCACTCTCTCTCTGTCTTTCTCTGTCTGACTCTTTTTATGTCTCTCTCTGTCTAACTCTGTCTCTCTCTATCACTGTCTCTCTCTTTCTGTCTATGTCTCTGTCACTGTCTCTCTCTGTCTATGTCTCTGTCACTGTCTCTCTCTGTCTATCTATGTCTATGCTATGTCTCTCTCTGTATTTCACTGTCTCCCTCTCTCTCTTTCTGTCTATGTCTGTCACTGTCTCTGTATCTCTCTGTCACTGCCTCTGTCTGTCACTGTCTCTGTCTGTCACTGTTTCTGTCTGTCACCGTCTATGCCTCTGTCACTGTCTCTATCTGTCTCTGTCTCTGTCTGTCAGTGCCACTGTCTATGTCTGTCACTGTTTCTGTCTGTTACTGTCTCTGTATCTCTCTGTCACTGTCACTGTCTCTGTCTGTCACTGTTTCTGTCTGTCACTGTCTATGTCTCTGTCACCGTCTCTATCTGTCTCTGTCTGTCAGTGTCACTGTCTCTGTCTGTCACTGTTTCTGTCTGTCACTGTCTATGTCTCTGTCTCTCTCTGTCTCTATTCTAAGTAAATATTGCCTATTATTATGCAATTCAGATATAACATTATAAATATTATATATCGGCTTAATATTCATATCCACTGGCAAGAATTTTATTAATGACACAGAGGCGAGTATTATGCTATCTCTTTCTTAATTTGTTCCTCAGCAGCAAAGAATAATATAACAGATATAACCAACTCTGCCTAGTAACAGGGCAGCCAATCAGGATATAAGAACAGTCTATTAAATGCCTTGATGTAGCCTCCAACTTCCTCTTTCTTTGCTGCTCCTCAGACCAGCTAAGTATATTTTTCTCTCTCCTATTACATGTTTTGATTGCTTCTATTGCTATTATTTGTTTATAGTTATTGTTATTATTATTGTTCATTATTATGGTTCTATTGTGTGATTATTTGATCTGATTGATTTTTTTCCTTTTGCTGTGTACTGTATTCTTTTTATTGCTGTGGGGCAGTGCTTTTTCCTTGCTCTGCCCTACTTGCATGTAGCCTGGGTTCCCCTGTCTGTGCTGAGCACTGTGAAAAGCACAGGCTGGGACCCGCGGCTGCCGGAGGTTTTTTTTCCCTGGTTCCTTCTTGCCCCCTCCCTCTCCTTGTGGCTGTGTGTTGCGGCCGCGCTGATTCCACGTGCCACCCAGTCTCCCTCTCCTCGCACCCATCGGTGCGAGGGAGTTTGTGCCGCGTATATAACACGTGCTCCTGGGCATTGGCGGGAGAGGGCTCTGGTTCCTTCGGTGTGCTTCGTCAGAAGCGCGGAGGCATTCCCCCCTGACCTGTTTGCACACGTGGCTATCCTCCTGCTCTCTGGATTAGGAGAGGTCTACCTACTGGAAGCTGGATCCTGGTCTTGGATCCAGAGTGGGTGGAAGACGGCGAGACCCCAACCAAGCTGCGGCGGTTTGTGGGGCCTGCGGTGGTTATGGTGTCTAGTGGAGTGCTTGGAGCCCTCGGAAAGTACTAGGAGCATCCGTCAACGGAGGTACCCAGTCGGGGTGCCAGGCAATCCATTACAGACACTCCCTCTGGAGTAAAAGATATCGCATTCCAGTCCAAAGCTCTAACATCCGAAATCTTCTTGCAAGAGTGCAAACAAATGTTTCAGTGATAACTCTTCATTAGGAAGCCATGAATCCAAAAATTCATTGACATCCCAGAACGATGAGTATCTGGCTCTTGGGGGTCTAGAGAAATGGATACCTTTCAATAATCTACACATGAAAGGATGTTGTCCGATCGGTGATCCATCAAGACCGTGTTGTCCAGCCGAAATAGCTGAACGGTAGACATTAATTGTACGGTAAGCCAATCCAGATTTGAAAAGCGTCATCAAAAAACTAAGTATTTCATTCAGAAAGGCAGAAACTGCCTTCCAACGCACCAGCCAGCCCACATGCGCCATGCGGAACTGGAGGTTCTAGTTTCAGGTGCCCAGGCACTGTCCAAGAGCACAGTTGCTTGCGGAACATCTGTGACTGACCAGGTCGTGTGAGTTCCCATCCGGATCCAGAAGTATGTCCAGCCTCATTTCAATTAGACATGTAAAACCCAATGACATCTCCAGAAGTCGAGGGAACCAAAGCTGGGCTTGCCACAGTGGAACTACAATCACCAGCGAGCAGTCCTGCCTGCACAGGTACGACAACGTCCGAGAAATCAGGTTGAATGGTGGAAATGCATAGTGACGATCAGGCGCTAACTTCTGTAGGAAGGCATCCACCGCCAATGCCGATGGGTCCGGTCTTCAACTGAAGTATCGGGACAGTTGGGAGTTGAGTCTGGACATGAACAGATCCAGGTCCAGGGGGCCCCATAACTGATTCAACTGTTGGAAGGTCGACTGGAGCAGACGCCAGTCCAGGGCCATCTTTAACGCGGGGCAAAAGGGGCAGCTGCCCCGGGCCCTGTCATTCCTAGGGGGCCCAAAGCAGCTGCCCCTTGAGCCCGCTGGCCGCTGTGGTGCTTGCGGGCAGACCACTGCGGGCCGCACGATGAGGGGCCCCATCGGGTGGCCCGTGCTCTTAGGGCCACCCGATGGCAATGAATCTGCAGGGGCCCGGTCAGCACTGCGGCGCTTTAACAGTGCGACCGGGCCCCCAGTGATGAGGTCCGCGCTAGGAGGAAGTGCAGTCACTTCCTCCTAGCTAACACAGAGAATGCCGCGTGGGAGGGAGGAAGAGAGGAGGAGTGCGGACTGAGAGAGCGCTCAACTCCCAACAGCCTCAGACAGCCACTGGACAGCAGGTAAGTCACCCTCCTGCACCCAAAAGGTAGGAAACAGGAGGGTGACTGAAATTGTATATTTTTCATGCATGTCTGTTTGTGTGTATATATCTGTCTGCATGTGTATCAGTCTGTGCATGTGTCTGTTTGTGTGTGTATGTGTCTGTATGTGTATATGCATGTGGGTCTGTGTGTATATCTGTCTATATGTATATCTGTGTATCTTTATGTGTGTTTCTGTGTGTATAGCTGTCTTTACGTGTATATGCATGTGTCTGTATCTGTGTGTATCGGTCTATATGTGTATCTATGTGTCTGTATGAGCCTCTGTATGCGTATTTGTGTATGTGTACCTGCATGTGTGCCAGTGTGTCTGTATGTGTTTCTGTGTATCTGAATAGGTGTCTGTATGTGTTAGTGTGTGTTTGTGTAACTGCATGTATGTCTGTGTATGTATCTCCATGTTATTGTGTGTATCTGCATATATGTCAGGGTGTGTTTGTCTGTTTATCTGTGTTTTAGTGTGTGTCTGCATGTTTGTCAGCGAGTATCTGTATATCTGTATGTGTGCCAGTGTGTATCTGTGTATGCACCTGTGTGTCTGTGTATCTGTCTTTGTATTTCTGTGTATTTAGATGTATGTACCTGTATATGTCTGAGCCTGTGTATGTGTGAGTCTGCATTTGTATTAGTGTTTGCATCTGTATGTGTATCTGTGTGTGTATTTTCACTAGGTAAAAGTGTGACTATGTCTACGATCTATGTGTGTTTTTTTATTTTTGTGTGTCTTTGGGTGGAAGGCGTGTTTGCATGCTAGAAGGTGGGCGGGAGGGGACCAGAGGGCACAAGCTAATGCTTGCCCAGGGTCCAGTCAACATTAAAGACGGCCCTGCGCGAGTCCCCCGAATCCTTCAGGTATCGGGAATTCCAATCTGCCCACTCATCCAATCCTGGGATGTGTTCTGCGGCACTGACACCTAATTGCGGAGGCAAAATTGGCAAAAGTCTTAGTGCACTAATCACAATTAATGTTAACAATATATTGCACTAATCAGACTTAATGTGAACACAATATATGCACTAATCACAGTTAATGTTAACAATATATTGTACTACACACAACTAATGTTAACAATATATTGCACTAGTCACAATTAATGTTAACAATATATTGCACTAAGCACAATTAATGTTAACACTATATTGCACTAATCACACTTAATGTGAACACAATATATTGCGCTAAGCACAATTAGTGTTAACAATATATTGCACTAATCACACTTAATGTTAACAATATATTGCACTAATCACACTTAATGTTAACAATATATTGCACTAGTCACAATTGTTGTTAACATAATATATTGCACTAACCACAATTCATGTTAAGACAATATATTGTATTAATCACAATTAATTTTAACAAAATTTTGCACTAATCACAATTAATATTAACACAATATAGTGCACTAATCACTAACCACAATTCATGTTAAGACAATATATTGTATTAATCACAATTCATTTTAACAAAATTTTGCACTAATCACAATTAATATTAACACAATATAGTGCACTAATCACTAATCACAATTAATGTTAACACAATATATTGTACTAATCACAACTGGTGATGTTCCGAACGGTTTGCGAACGGTTCACCACGAACGGTTCGCCGCGGACTCATCAATGAGTAAACTTTGACCCTGTACCTCACAGTCAGCAGACACATTCCAGCCAATCAGCAGCAGACCCTCCCTCCCAGACCCTCCCACCTCCTGGACAGCTCACTAAGAATGCAGCTTCACAATGGATGCTGTCCAGGAGGTGGGAGAGTCTGGGAGGGAGGGTCTGCTGCTGATTGGTTGGAATGTGTCTGCTGACTGTGAGGTACAGGGTCAAAGTTTACTCATTGATGAGTCCGTGGCGAACCGTTCATGGTGAACCGTTCGCAAACCGTTCGGGACATCACTAATCACAACTAATGTTAATTAATGTTAGTATAAGGTATATGTTTATATATTTATATTAGTGATCTAAGGTGTATGTGTATATATTATATTAGTGATATAAGTTGAATGTGTATATATTATATTGGTGATATATGGTGTATGTGTATATATTATATAAGTGATATATGGTGTATGTGTATATATTTATATTATTGATATAAGATGTATGTGTATAGATTACATTATTAATATACTTTGTATGTGTATATATTATATTAGTGATATAAGGTGTATGTGTATATATTATATTAGTGATATAAGTTGAATGTGTATATATTAATTGGTGATATATGGTGTATCTGTATATATTATATTAATGACATTAGGTGTGTATATTATATTGGTGATATATGATGTATGTGTATAGATTATATTATTAATATACGGTGTATGTGTATATATTATATTATTGATATAAGATGTATGTGTATATATTATATTAATGATATAAGGTGTATGTGTATATATTTATATTATTGATATAAAGTGTATCTGTATATATTATATTATTGATATAAGCTGTATGTGTATATATTATATTAGTGATATAGGGTGTATGTGTATATATTATATGTTTATATTATCGATATAAGGTGTATGTGCATATATTATATTAATGATATTAGGTGTATGTGTATATATTATATTAGTTATATAAGGTGTTGTGCAGAGACCGCTTTACCTGAACAGGTTAATTTCGAGTAAAGGTAATATCATCCATTGTTATTGTAATATGAGAGTGAAAGGTTTAATACCCCAGGGAGGGCAGAATACTGTATTGTTACTGAGATATGAGAGTGAAGGGGTTAATACCCCAGGGAGGGCAGTACACTGTATTGTTACTGAGATATGAGAGTGAAGGGGTTAATACCCCAGGGAGGGCAGTACACTGTATGTTTACTATGATATGAGAGTGAAGGGGTTAATACCCTAGGGAGGGCAGAATACTGTATTGTTACTGAGATATGAGAGTGAAGGGGTTAATACCCCAGGGAGGGCAGTACACTGTATTGTTACTGTGATATGAGAGTGAAGGGGTTACTACCCCAGGGAGGGCAGTACACTGTATGTTTACTGTGATATGAGAGTGATGGGGTTAATGCCCCAGGGAGGGCAGTACACTGTATGTTTACTGTGAAATGAGAGTGAAGGGGTTACTACCCCAGGGAGGGCAGTACACTGTATGTTTACTATGATATGAGAGTGAAGGGGTTAATACCCTAGGGAGGGCAGAATACTGTATTGTTACTGAGATATGAGAGTGAAGGGGTTAATACCCCAGGGAGGGCAGTATACTGTACTGTTACTGAGATATGAGAGTGAAGGGGTTAATACCCCAGGGAGGGCAGAATACTGTATTGTTACTGAGATATGAGAGTGAAGGGGTTAATACCCCAGGGAGGGCAGTACACTGTATTGTTACTGTGATATGAGAGTGAAGGGGTTAATACCCCAGGGAGGGCAGTACACTGTATTGTTACTGAGATATGAGAGTGAAGGGGTTAATACCCCAGGGAGGGCAGTACACTGTATGTTTACTGTGATAGGAGAGTGAAGGGGTTAATACCCCAGGGAGGGCAGTACACTGTATTGTTACTGTGATAGGAGAGTGAAGGAGAGGGAGTACACCGTATTGTTACTGGATAAGAGTGAAGGGGTTAATACCCCAGGAGGGCAGCACTGTATTACTGAGATAGAGAGTGAAGGGCTATCACCCCAGGGAGGGCAGTACACTGTATTGTTACTGTGATAGGAGAGTGAAGGGGTTAATACCCCAGGGAGGGCAGTACACTGTATTGTTACTGAGATAGGAGAGTGAAGGGGTTAATACCCCAGGGAGGGCAGTACACTGTATTGTTACTGTGATAGGAGAGTGAAGGGGTTAATACCCCAGGGAGGGCAGTACACTGTATTGTTACTGTGATATGAGAGTGAAGGGGTTACTACCCCAGGGAGGGCAGTACACTGTATGTTTACTGTGATATGAGAGTGATGGGGTTAATGCCCCAGGGAGGGCAGTACACTGTATGTTTACTGTGAAATGAGAGTGAAGGGGTTACTACCCCAGGGAGGGCAGTACACTGTATGTTTACTATGATATGAGAGTGAAGGGGTTAATACCCTAGGGAGGGCAGAATACTGTATTGTTACTGAGATATGAGAGTGAAGGGGTTAATACCCCAGGAAGGGCAGTATACTGTATTGTTACTGAGATATGAGAGTGAAGGGGTTAATACCCCAGGGAGGCAGTATACTGTATTGTTACTGAGATATGAGAGTGAAGGGGTTAATACCCCAGGGAGGGCAGTACACTGTATTGTTACTGTGATATGAGAGTGAAGGGGTTAATACCCCAGGGAGGGCAGTACACTGTATTGTTACTGAGATATGAGAGTGAAGGGGTTAATACCCCAGGGAGGGCAGTACACTGTATTGTTACTGAGATATGAGAGTGAAGGGGTTAATACCCCAGGGAGGGCAGTACACTGTATTGTTACTGAGATATGAGAGTGAAGGGGTTAATACCCCAGGGAGGGCAGTACACTGTATTGTTACTGAGATATGAGAGTGAAGGGGTTAATACCCCAGGGAGGGCAGTACACTGTATGTTTACTGTGATAGGAGAGTGAAGGGGTTAATACCCCAGGGAGGGCAGTACACTGTATTGTTACTGTGATAGGAGAGTGAAGGGATTAATACCCCAGGGAGGGCAGTACACTGTATTGTTACTGTGATAGGAGAGTGAAGGGGTTAATACCCCAGGGAGGGCAGTACACTGTATTGTTACTGTGATAGGAGAGTGAAGGGGTTAATACCCCAGGGAGGGCAGTACACTGTATTGTTACTGAGATAGGAGAGTGAAGGGGTTAATACCCCAGGGAGGGCAGTACACTGTATTGTTACTGTGATAGGAGAGTGAAGGGGTTAATACCCCAGGGAGGGCAGTACACTGTATTGTTACTGTGATATGAGAGTGAAGGGGTTACTACCCCAGGGAGGGCAGTACACTGTATGTTTACTGTGATATGAGAGTGATGGGGTTAATGCCCCAGGGAGGGCAGTACACTGTATGTTTACTGTGAAATGAGAGTGAAGGGGTTACTACCCCAGGGAGGGCAGTACACTGTATGTTTACTATGATATGAGAGTGAAGGGGTTAATACCCTAGGGAGGGCAGAATACTGTATTGTTACTGAGATATGAGAGTGAAGGGGTTAATACCCCAGGAAGGGCAGTATACTGTATTGTTACTGAGATATGAGAGTGAAGGGGTTAATACCCCAGGGAGGCAGTATACTGTATTGTTACTGAGATATGAGAGTGAAGGGGTTAATACCCCAGGGAGGGCAGTACACTGTATTGTTACTGTGATATGAGAGTGAAGGGGTTAATACCCCAGGGAGGGCAGTACACTGTATTGTTACTGAGATATGAGAGTGAAGGGGTTAATACCCCAGGTAGGGCAGTACACTGTATTGTTACTGAGATATGAGAGTGAAGGGGTTAATACCCCAGGGAGGGCAGTACACTGTATGTTTACTGTGATAGGAGAGTGAAGGGGTTAATACCCCAGGGAGGGCTGTACACTGTATTGTTACTGAGATAGGAGAGGGAAGGGGATAATACCCCAGGGAGGGCAGTACACTGTATTGTTGCTGAGATAGGAGAGTGAAGGGGTTATTACCCCAGGGAGGGCAGTACACTGTATTGTTACTGAGATAGGAGAGTGAAGGGGTTAATACCCCAGGGAGGGCAGTACACTGTATTGTTACTGAGATAGGAGAGTGAAGGGGTTAATACCCCAGGGAGGGCAGTACACTGTATTGTTACTGAGATAGGAGAGTGAAGGGGTTAATACCCCAGGGAGGGCAGTACTCTGTATTGTTACTGAGATAGGAGAGTGAAGGGGTTACTACCCCAGGGAGGGCAGTACACTGTATTGTTACTGAGATAGGAGAGTGAAGGGGTTAATACCCCAGGGAGGGCAGTACACTGTATTGTTACTGAGATAGGAGAGTGAAGGGGTTAATACCCCAGGGAGGGCGAAGGGGTTAATACCCCAGGGAGGGCAGTACACTGTATTGTTACTGAGATAGGAGAGTGAAGGGGTTAATACCCCAGGGAGGGCAGTACACTGTATTGTTACTGAGATAGGAGAGTGAAGGGGTTAATACCCCAGGGAGGGCAGTACACTGTATTGTTACTGAGATATGAGAGTGAAGGGGTTAATACCCCAGGGAGGGCAGTACACTGTATTGTTACTGAGATAGGAGAGTGAAGGGGTTAATACCCCAGGGAGGGCAGTACTCTGTATTGTTACTGAGATATGAGAGTGAAGGGGTTAATACCCCAGGGAGGGCGAAGGGGTTAATACCCCAGGGAGGGCAGTACACTGTATTGTTACTGAGATGTGACACCGATACTTTGTATCTCTCAGCAGACAGACTCAGATTTTCAGCCAGCTCAGGGTCAGAGCATGGGGGAGGATTTAAAGCATTATATCTACTTAGTACATAGGAATGCTCAGAAATAGGAGGAAAGGGAATGAAGACAATCCGATTTCCTTGATCCAGGTCCCTGGCAGATTCTCTTGTACAAAATTCAATCTCTATTTTTATGAGAGGTAAACTGTCTAAATAAATTGTATTAGGGGCCGACCAATATATTTCTGGTAGTTCCCTGTGTTTCACTTCTACATGTGTGTTACAATCTAAAACCTATTTATGGAGCAAAAATCACTGCATCCGTCACAGAAAATCCTTTTACCTGCCTCTACAGTGATTCCTGGACCTTCTCCCAGCCACAGCACTGAGGGCTACTAGCCCACACTGCCCCTCTCCCAGCCCCAATACTGGGAGCTACTAGCC